GTCCATATGAAATACTCTTCTCCATACCATTAATTCCAAGAGTCCATTTCAGCTAATGTTATAAAACTGTCCCTCAGTTCATAGGAAGACATTTAACATGCACAGTCATGCACCATATATGTGACATAAAATGACAGAGTGGGCAGAGCATGAAGCTGCTTGATTGATATTTTCAGAGGTCATGGTGACTGTCAACATCACCACCAAGGCCGTTTGCTCCCAAGAGGTCTGGTTTGCCTCTTCTCATGGTTCAGATTGTCTACCCCTACTCCAGCACTCTTGGCACCAGCTGTCAGGAGATCAAAAGACAGATTACAGTGGGAAAATCAGCAGGTAGGGACCTCTCCAGAGTATTGAGAAGCAACAATGTCAGTCTAGAGACTAAGGTGAGCCTGATTCAGGCCACGATCTTTGCAGTTACTTGCTCTGCATCGGAGAGCTGGACAGTGACTAAGGATGACAGAAGAAGACTCAATGCCTTTGAGTTGTGGTGCTTGAGAAGAGTCTTTTTTTTTTTTTTGAGAAGAGTCTTGAACATACCAGAGACTTACAAGAGAACAAACAGATCTATCTTAGAAAGAATGAAACCAAGTTTCTCCTCGGGAGGCTAGGATTTTAGAGCTCTTTCTCACATACTTTAGGCACATGGCCAGGAGGGACCAGCTGGTGCTTGGAGATGGACATCATTTTTGGAAGGGTTGGGGGACAACATGGGAGAGGAAGACCCTGGGTGAGATGAGGGTCCATCTCTCATAGGTGTGTTGGAGTCAGTGAGAATGGCAAAGGATAGTACAATCTTCAGAGCTATTATTGTACATAGGGTCCCTCTGAGTCACAGGCAACTTGATGGCACATTAACAAGAACCCCAACCCTAATTATGCATTTGATTGATCATTTAAAACCATGATTCTTGTCTTGGATGCAAAGTGAAAGTTATATAATGATCCCTCCGACAAGCCAATCAACTATAAAAGGATTAAGGATGTGTGGCTTAGTGAAAAGAAGCTGTGGTGCAATCCCCAAGACACACAATTCCAGTCTACCAGCTTCTGTGTGGGAGAAAGATGGGAAGTCTCCACCCATCTAGTTTAATGCCTCTGAAAAATCCGAAAAGGTTGGCTATGAGTTGGTTCCAACTTGATGACACACAAAGATAATCGCTTCGCATCCTTGTTCTGATGTTAGAGGAGTTTCTCTGGGCTGTGGTCAGCTATGCCTTCTCTCTTACAAGAGAGAAAACGAGAACAAAGTGAGCAGAATGAGGGGGCCTGAATACCATTAAGAAAGAGGATTCAAGAATAGGGGGTCATCCTTTGGACCAGAGTTCCTTTTGTAGTGAACCTCCTTGATCCAGGAAAAGATTAAAGCTGAGACACAGAGCTCTCTACAAGGAATACCAGACCTACAGATACTGATAGGAGACAAGAACATTACTTCAGAACTTACACAGAGAAAGCCATTCCTTAGAGCCAGGAGCCTGGATTTGAACATCAGTCTTCCTAAAAACTGTGAAAAAATAAATTTCTGTTTGTTAAAACCATCCCCTTGTGGTACTTCTGTTGTAGGAGCACTGGATAATAAGACTCTTCTATTGCTCAGAAACATTTTCTTGGCTTACCAAGAAACCTGATTTACCAGTTTGTCTTTTGCTCCAGAGCTAGCCAGGCCCTCCAGACTCTTGGACACTCACATTCTGGGGCATGCTTGGACCTGATCCTGAGTTTTCCTATTTAGACTCTGCTTGACAGACATTGTTACTTTCAGCATTCTTGTCTCTGTCCTTTTAGCTCTTTGTTTATATGGTTTCCATCATAAGCCTGCCTTTCTGTTCTCCACTCACTACTGTTCTTCCTGGTCTTCTGTTCCACGTCTTTCTATGCAACTTCAGACTCTGTTCTTGACTCTCTTATCATTCCATGCTTCCTTTCGTGATTATCACATCTCCTTTTGCTGCTTTAACTAATAAACTAATACTTGAGGGTGACATTTGCAGAATCTAAACAGGCTTGATGCCTCATTGAAGTCAGTGTTTCTAAGGCAGATTTTGCTTTTTGTGCATCCACTTCTCTTCTCCCCCAAATGCACCCCACCACATCTTCTCGTCTGATGTTCACTGCTCTAATCACCCATTTTCCCAACCCAGGAATCTGAGAATAATTGTTGAGGCTTTCTCACTCACTCTTCATGCACTCTTTAGTGTTGAAAGTTTTCCATCCATGGCAAGAATTCCAGTATGCCCTCTCACTCCTGCCCTGTGGATTCTCACTGGATCCTTGTGAGTTTCTTATCTGGGTTTCTGCTTTCTCTCCCTCCCCGATGCTATCAGCTGTGCCAGCTGCAGAAACAGGATCTAGGCTTCCTGTTTTCTGCACCAGTGTGTCCAAAGCTGCATCTTTTTAAGGTGTAGAAATATCAGAATGTCTGCTTAATACTGTTGTTCTTGATCTTGACTTTTTAGGTCTCTCTTTGTTGTTTCATAATAGAATATTTATAAAAATATTTGCATTATATTGTATACATAAATATTTTATTGATAGGAGTATGTTCAAACAATTTGGGGATAAAAAGAATTAAACTCACTGCCATCGAATCAATCCTGACTCATCGATCCAAGCCCTTTTAGGACAAAACAGAATTAGTGCTTCATAGGGTTTACAGAGCTTGTAGTCTTTACAGAAACAGACTGCCTCATTTTTCTCCTTCAGAGCAGTTTGTGAGTTTGAAGTGCTGATCTTCACTTACCAGCCTAATAATTCTGTTTAAAAAAAACATCATTAGAGATGAAGTTATAAATGTGTTGAATGCTGTCTGCAAGCCTAGATACTCATTTGTTGATAAAGTCTGTATATATATTGTACATTTCACATATATTTTGTTAATCTCCAAGATTAAAAATACCTGCACCTCCTATTATTCTAGGAGTCTCTTTTGATTTTATGAGTTTTAGCATGACTTGATAACCCTGGAGATGAACATTCAAATCACATATTCTTGGTGTACTAATGTTTAGATGGGGGCATATGGGACAACCTGAAAACTCTTTTTCCTTGAAGAATAATTGACACTACCAGTGTGTTATCAATAATGTGATGTATATAACTACAGATTATATTGTTAAGAAATTAAGATCTGATTATTTATAGCAAACAGCCAGTTGCCATTGAACTGACTCAGTAGAACTGTGCTCTGTAGGGTTTTCAGTGACTAATTTTTTTGCAAGTGATCTCCAGGCCTTTCTTCCAAGGTGCCTTTGTGTGGACACAAACCTCCAGCATTTCAGTTAGCAGCCAAGCGCATTAGCCTTTTAGATAATACCAGCAGGGGACTCTTCTATCATAGACATTCCCCCCACCCCCATTAACAAATATTTATCAGAGATTAGCTTTAATGTTGACTTTTCTCCAGCATCCAGCATTTTTTGCTTAATATTTATGTGACATGTCACAATCCTTCAGAAGAAAACACATTTCAAAGAGTGGTTTGCCATTGTCTTTAGAACTGGTCATATTTTATGTATAATCTGTATAAGGCAGTACTTATACTGTGGTTAACTGAGACAGCCTGCTTAGCGAAGGAGTAAGTAGCCCACAAAGGATTAAGAGTAAGGATATGTTGACTTTAATTACTAATATTACTATTAATACTAGTTAGACTTTCTTCTGAAGAAAATGAAGTCCAAAAATCTCTCATAAGCTAAATATACTTTTATGTTTGGGTGCTTTCTTTAGCTACAGTGATTCTGAATATAAAGTGAAAAGTAAGTTTGGCTCACTTTCAGAAATCAAGAAAATTTAAAAAAAAGCTTTTAAACCTCTTTTTTCTTTTTTCTCTCAGGTACAATATTGAACCCAGCTTGTACTGCCCGTTTTTCTCCCTCAGTGCATGCATGGAAGGTTTGAATGTTTTGTTTAACCAGCTGCTGGGGATTTCTTTATATGCAGAGCAGACTGCAAAGGGAGAGGTGTGGTGTGACGATGTGCGGAAACTGGTAAGCATGGTGTGAATATGCACCACTTCAACCTTTTTGGCTCGGATGTTGAGTAACAATGCCAATATCTTTAGCTTAGCTTTGCTTTGATGGGGATATTGTTCCATCTTATTTCTGATTCATAAAAAATCCCATGCGCCTCTCCTCTCCTCCCACATTAACCATGAGGTTTCCAGTAACTTTCTTTTCTTCTTTCTCTCTCTTTTTTTGTTGTTTTTAGATAAAAAATTTTGTGGGAAAAACAAAAAAAACACGCAAAAAAAATTCTAATAAAAGAAGAAAAATGAAAAAAAAATCCAAATTGCCCCTTTTAAGTTAGGAAATAGTGTAAAGAAACATTTTCCTTTAAAATCACCTGGTGGTTTTATACTTTCCTTCATTCACAACATGTTTCATACAATCATTCCCATACAGTGCACTTTATAATCACCATTGATCTATTCCCACCAATATCCTATCTTTCAGATCCCCACTGGATCTTTCCCATTTCCTTCATCCTCTTTACCCACCAACTAATATAAAATAAAATTAAAAAGTCTCACCAGTTTGATGTCTAAAATTAATCTAAGCATGTAATAGTAAAGTGAATAAAGTCTCTGAACAAACATTAGAAATTTGGTAGAAGGTTGAACCTTTACATGAGTTCATGAATATTGCTGCAGTTTTGTGCCATTGAGTTGCTAGTGTCTAACAGCTAACCCTCCATTGGGTTTCAGAAGCAGTAAACCAAACAGGAGTTGATTACCCATCTTTCTTTCTCTTGTGCGTGAATATTTGTTGCAGAAAAATGGATCATTCCTTTTGACATGGTTTCAGTTCTAGATGTTCTTTTCTGAAAACTCAAAACCTGCTATGTTGGTCAAATTTTCCTTCTTTCTGACCCCTTTCCCACACTGTTAGTTTTGTATCAAATGTTAATTTATATCCCCTGTTCTGATGCCTTGGACTTCTTTATTAGTAACTTAGTTGCCAGCCCACTGTTCTCTTTTTAGGGCCCCTCTATTTGAGGTACAGGATGCTTTTATTTTTCCTGGGAAAATAAGATTTATTAACTTGTCTGTTTTTGACTGGGATTGTTGTTTTATTTCTTTCAGGCTTAACATAGTGTACTTTTTACCCTCCTTAGTTACATTTCAAATTACTTAAGCCAGTATGTTGACTGTATTTTGTGGCACATGTGGAGTATAAATGGCAGAGGAATTGAACAGAGACTCAAGATGAGCTAGTTGTTCATCACTCTATTTAATTATCTGTCTTATTCTGCAACTAATAGAGTCTGAAAATACAGAGATAAAATATAAAGAAAAACCAGTGACAGAAGATTGAAGACAACGTTGTGAATGATGAAGACTTTATAGATTGAGAGCGCCACCGAGACAGCGGCATTTACCTGTTTGCTCACTGCTGTATCCCATATTCTTGCATTAGTTTCTGGCAAAGAACAGGCAAGGGCTTTATCAATGCTTGTTGAATGATGAATATATTCCTGCATGAATTTTTTTTTCTTCTGCTAAAACTGACGTTGGGACTTTCTTAGGCACACACCCTACGCTCTATAAAAGGCAAGCTGGAAACTGATGGTGATGGGCTTTTCTGAAAGCTTCACCCTTTTCTTAGGCTTCATTTTTCGAACATGGAGCCCTCGTGAGTTATAGCTTAGTGGATAAGATCCCAGCTGCCAACCAAAAGATCGTGGTTCAAATCCCCCAGTGGCTCAGTAACAGAAAGATTTGCAGCCTTGGAAACCTCGTGGGGCAGGGAGTTCTCCTCAGCCCTGAAGGGTCTCTGGGTCAGAACTCATTCACTGGCAGTGGATAGTTTTGAGATGGAAAAAAAATTATTCTGTTGTCGATTTTTTACTTGAAGTTAGAGGCTATATTGTTTTTAATTCCCCTCCCCCTTTTTTAAAGAAAATTACTTTCATATGGTTATTCATACACATTGTATTTTATAGAATTAATTGCTACTGGTCATTGCCTTTTTCAGCATGTGTCATCAAGTCCTCATTGCACCCCACCTGTTCCTCCACTTGCCCCAGCTAGACACTAATCTCTGCTGCCCTGGTGATTTTTTTTTAAAAAAAGAGTTATAATTTGCATAGGCATCTTAAACTATAAGGAAAAATAGATTACCATGAAGATATTCTTCAGCTTGCACTTAGTCCTGACTCCTGTGGGGTCAGGTTGGATACTCGTCTGTGACTCTCTGTGTTTGGCATTGGTAGTTTAGAGATTTGGCTGTTAGGAGGTAGGACTCAAACAGGATTTCTTGTCCTAAACAGTAGCATTTCCAAATCAAAACCATTAGAACAAAGGAGAGAACAAGTCTATTTGAGACATTTGATCGTCTTGTTAGGTGCTACCAACTCAGTCCGACCCATAGCAACCCTGTGAGCAGCAGATCTGATTCCTGTCCTCTCCTGTGCCATCCTCATCCTCTCTGACACACTTGAACGCATTGCTGCAGTCACTGAGTCAATCCGTCTTGTTGACAATCTCTTTTGCTGACCGTCCACCTATATAAGGATGATGTCCCTTTCTAAGAAATAGCCTCTCCAACTACATGCCCAAAGTATGTGAGATGAAGCTTCACCATCCTTGCTTTCAAGGATCACTCTGGCTGCACCTTTTGATAGTCCACGGGTATTCAGTTCTGTTCTCCAACATCACAGCTCAAAGTTCTCAGTTCTTCTTCTGTCATCCTTATTCACTGTCCAGATCTCAAATGTGTAGCATGTGATTGAAAAGACTATCTGTATAGGATATGGAGATTAATAAAATATGTATGTATG